TCTTCTGCGCTCAGCGAAGCTCAGGAGAAGAAACAGAGTCTTCAGCGGAAGCTCGAATCTCTCATTGAGGTAGGGTTTTAGTGGATGCTTCGTGCTCTTGATATTGAGGTTAGTTGTTAGTCTTAAGTTCTGAAAAAACAAAAAAGTGAGTGAATAGGGATATTTAATTAAATTTTTTGTGCAGTTACAAATTGGAGTTTAAAAAGTTCTTCAGTTACTTATTTAGATGTAACTGGGTTTGTTAGTTACTAAATTAGCAGATTTAGAGGGACAAATTAGAATTGTTCAGGTGTTCGTAGGTAAAAGAAATTTCTTTTTTAGCTGGGCCACTGGTATGTGGATTTAATTTGGTTTCCGAGCGCATGGATATATAAATATTCTTTTTTAGATTAGTTTAATCTAGTTTCAGCTAAACTGGTGGTACGAGGCTCTGAAAATATGAATTGAGGACCTTGTAAGTTGAGTCATTTGGGCTATAAAATTTTCCTCTTTTTTGCCGAGTTGATGTAAGAAAAGAACGTGCATTAAATTTACTTTTACTCATAGTTTCAGAATTTTTATACTAGTTCCTTATTTGTTTGCGCAGTCTCATTTCTTGTTCATCTATCAAATAAAGCATTGCAGCATAGTTTGTTTGTATACCTTATTCTTCAGAAATTAGTAAAGGTGCCTTTTTGTCTCTGGTTTCTGCTGGTTAGTATTTACTACAAAAAAAATGTTGCTTAGTTGACCCAAATTTTAAGTCAAGGAAAAATAGAGTTATGGAGCTTGTTATATAGTAACTATATGAAGGAATGAAAAAAATGTAAAGGTTCCTCATCCCCCTCCCTTGACTGTGCATTGGCTTTTGTTTAGAGCATTTGAAGGAGTTGGGACTAATTGAAAGTGTATTCTGGTTGTGCACTAAGTTGTCATTGACATATTGTGTTGTTACTTGATTGATCGGGTCTTAATTGATTAGCCCGCGGGTTAGCGGGCGGCAATATTGTTGGCAGGTTGAAGCCGAGTCATTGAGTCGATCAAATGAGCTTGAGGAGATGCACCAGAAACTGGAGGCTAGAAAAATGGTGTTGGGAAACATGTCGAGACATTCTATGCTTGCTGTGGAAGATACTAAAAAGAAAGAGGAGCAGCTTAGTATAGAGCTTAGGTCGCTATTGGTTGCTGGGACGGCTCTATCTGTTGCTAGGAAGCGGTTGGAGGTAGAATTGATTATAACTATTATATACCAAACAGTGGTTGGGTGAAAGAGAACTTATTAGCTTGTGAAATATAAACTCTAGTTTCTTTTGGATTAGCCGTCTTGAGAAGCCAAAATTTGTCGCATTGCAAATTTTTTTTTTTTCCAAAAATTCCATTGCAGTTACTTTGAGTTATACCATTAATAAGGAATGTATATACGACTAGTGTAAATTACTTATATTGGGTCACTTTTGAATTGAAAGTTTCTTTCATCGTTGGTAAACTAGTAGTTGTCGTGCATATGTTCTATTCTTTTGTTTCATTTTATCAATTCTTTTTTTGACTTTTATTTTCTATTGGCTTTGCTTTGATCCATTTCAAAATTCAAAACTCATCATGCTATACTTTTCTTAAAAACCTTTAATTTTCTTCTCTATGTGCCTTTTCAAGGTTAATGGTTACTGTTAAACTTTAGTATTTGATATATGCTGGTAAAAATCTGATTGTACTTTCATGACAGGAATCAAATCGGCTACTTTCCACAGAAAAGGGGTATGTTCGTCTTAAAAACTTGCAAAAGATGCTAAGAAGGAGACAACAACATATGATATCACAAGTTTCATTGCTCTATCCAGTAAAGTTCACTATGGGTCCTGCTCAAGAACAGGAACTTGATTCATTTCCTAACACTAGTAGATCAGGTATATGCAAGCGAGTTGTACCTTGTGATATTTATTTCATGTTGTACAAGACCTTGTTTAATTTGTGCAATCTGAAAAAAGAGTAGCTGTAGTAGAATCAATAATTACCCATATGACTAATGGAAGGAAAAAAGGGGCTAAATAGTTAAAGCAATTACTACAGCTCCTTCCTAGTTATTTATCCACATTCATGAAATTTTGGATATCATGGCAATATTTTCTATCTCAACTATATATATATATATATATATATATATATATATATATATTATATGTCCCATGTGCTTAATTTGTACAAGTGCTCAGGAATTTATGGGGTTATGTACTGGTAATTTTTTTTCCCCAGAATCTCAGTCCTTATTTCCTTTATTAAAAGCTTGTTTCTTTGGAGTTCTCAAGATAGTCTAAATTACGTTCTTGACCTCGATCTCTATCTAAAATATGGGCAATTTCCTTATGATATTGCTGGTCGGGATTGCGGGATAGTTCTTAAGTGAACGTAAGCATTCAAATGTCCTGTGGCATTTGATAGTTACGTTATTTTTGTTTTTGTTTTTTCTTTCCATCCAAGGCTTAGGATTTGGAGTTTGGGCTTACCCCCTAAACCTAACCTTAGAGCTAAATTTTAAACTGTAACCTCTAAACTCTATTAGGCTCTAAAGAATAAACTCTGTTGCAACTTGTAAATGAAAACTTTAAAGAAAAGGAAAAATATATCACTTTTCAAGCAGCGGGGCTGCCCACATTGTGGATCTTCGCTCTTGAAGTTTTTCGGGTATATCGTATTTGTATATATGTATTTATTTATATATTCAAAATATGTATCATGATCTTATACTATATATATTGCTTTGTATATTTAATGATTTTCACTGTTATTATTTATTTGATTTGATATAATTATACATTCTTAAGGTTTTGTTGGCTAGACATTTCCGCAATATCCATTTTCAGGTTTATTTTCTTGTGTAGAGTATTTATTGCGAAAAAATTAATATATTCGTGGTGTCAATTCTAATAACCTCTTGTAATGTATTTTGCTGTGCTCTGGTACTTGGATTATATTTTTCTTCTGTTTTTCTTCAATACAGGTAATTCTGCTCGATTTAAACCTGCAAATCAAGGAACATTGACAATTTTAGGTCTCCATTTAACTATGCTGCCTTTTAAAATGATGAGTTTTTTCACCAACAAGAAGGAGGTTCAGAAGTCTGCAACTGCCCTGGGATATGTCGGTCATGTGCGTAGTACTTTTTCTTTGCTTGATATAAACTATAAAGTTGTCAATTCATACATGATAAATTTAGATGATTCTACTTTAAAATGCTATAATATTTTCCTGTGCCAGAAGAAATTTATATTCTTTCAGTAACAGTTATGCGGTCATATTGAAGCACATTTTTTGGGGGCAATTTGTTTTGTTTGTTTAGCCATAGTTGTTTCAAGTAAAAATGCTCTATTATATTGATTTTGAATGCAGGCTGTCTTACTTATAGCTTCCTACTTAAAAGTTCCATTGCGTTATCCATTGCGATTGGGTGGTTCACATTCCTATATTATTGATTATGGACCATCCGTAGAGGCTACTTCATCTGATTTGTCATCAAATACAGTGGTTTCCACGGATGTGAAGCATGTGGAGTTCCCTCTCTTTTTAGATGGTCAAGACACAACGAGAGCGGCATATGCTGTATTCTTACTAAACAAGGTGCAATTTTCTTCATATCTTTTCATGGGCTCCATAACACCTATTGAGACTAAAATAGTTTCGTTAGTTTGCGTATGGTTATAATATCTTCATTCGTTTGATCTCTGTGCATTTGTGTGTATTAAAGTTCTCCTTTTGAATCTTTTTTTTTTTTTTTTTGGGCAATGGTAACCGTGGAAACTCAATAATTTAGAACGGGGTTTTCCCTGAAACCAAATTGATGTAGTAATAGAGAAAGAAGGTAGAAGAGAGAACAAAATCTTGCTGCTCCTTAACCCACTCAAATCTGGCATTACTTTCAGCATTTACATCTGCATGTTGCCTTGACAAAGATACTTTTTTTGTTTTTAAAATTCCGCTTCTGTTAGTGAGTGAAGGAATTTTTTTTGGGGTTTTGTTTTTTTCTTTATTTAATTTCTTAACCATTAAATGTCACGGTTTTTTTGCATTTTATCTATACTTAGTTGACCTTAGCATTTTTTTTTTTGGGTGTGGTGTAGGATTTAGAGCAGCTTTTGAATTACATTGGTGTTAAGAGCTTAGGACCACGCCATGTCCTGGCCAATTTGAAGGAGCTTGTAAGGACCATTCAATCTGTAGATTATATAGATACGTGATCTCTCAAGTACCAGTTTTGGCTGTAAGTTAATGTCAACTTTGTAAATGTACTATTTGTATTCTTACCTTGGTGCAAGTTTTTAGTGGAGCACCTTGCCTTTTTATCTATACCAATCCAGAATTTTGAATATTGATAGGAAATACGAATTTATTCCTAATTGGTGTTACCAATCCACACAAATCATAACACATGGTGACAAGTTTGTACGGTATTAATATTATGCTTTGCATATACACTTGTGAAAACAAATACAAGGATTGGTGTCATTCATCGGAAATTACTCTCGTACTTGTAGCGTTCGAAAGAAAGTCCATTCCTAATTTATGAAATCCCGACACTTGTAAAATGTGATAAATACAGATCTGCATTCTTCCCAACAATGCTTTCAATCTTAGATTAACCAGTTTAATCGTACATAGTGGGAGGAATGGGAATCAAGTCATGCTTGTAAGATTTGCAAATCTATCGATGTGGTCCCCCAGGGTTTCAAAAGTCATCATTTGGTCCTCCACATTGCTTTGACAAGTGTCCTTCAAGATTTCAAAAGTCATCATTCGGTCCTCCACACATTGCTTTGACAAAGGTGCCCCCTAAAGTTGTGGTCACGTGATGAAATTTGACGGATTGAACGGCAAAGACAACAGTGATGTCGAGGATCGCATTATTTGATTTGCAGTGTAGAAGACCAAAAATGATCGACTTGTGGAAGGTGTGAGCTGGAAATAACAACTGCGCATCGAGTTCATAATAGGGAGCTCGCAAAGCTTAACATTTAACCTAGCCAGGGTCATATACAAAAATACAAAGACCGACGAAAAGCTTGGTTCAAATGTTACAGCAGAAAAGAGAAGTTGAACAAATTCACACCTTCAAAATCCACAAGTTCATAAAATGGTGAATGGAACTAACTACAACAAAACTTGTTAAGAGTCAACTTTCATTCCTAAGCGACCAATTCATCTGCTCCTTATCACAATGCTCCAAAAAAGCATCAATGTCGTTCATAAGATCTTGATCGTCTCGAACTGCATCGTCCACCAAGTTTAAAAACTCCGTCAAATCTATAATTCCATTGCTATACCTTTGCAGTTGCTTTAGGAATTCGACGAACTTGTCTTTACCAAGTTTCTCTCTAACCTTTTTGAAGAGAAGAAAGCCTCTATCATATATGCTCTTTTTTAACTTCTCTTGAGCATCCTTGAAATGTTTGACTCCTTGTACTTGATTCAGTACGTAGGCCAAGGCATTTTCCCTCGGATTCTTTTCCATCTTGATCTTCTTTCCGTTTCTCAGAAAATTTCCCCGCAACCGAATGCAGGAAATTTCCTTTTTCAGGACAGGATATCAAGGAGAGAAATTTAGTGCCCTGGTTCCTCACTGATGCCTTGGTTCATCAGACTGATGCAACCTGCCATATGAAGTTGGAATGACTTTTAGGGAATAGCAACCAATAACAAAAAAAATTTAAATTATTTTGTATGTATTGTATCAAGCACTTTAGGAGTTGAAAAACTTAATTGAAACGGGGGTACACCTCTCTCTCTAATCACATGATATGTCACATGACGAGAGATGGAGGGAGTGAGGGTATACACTCGGGAGAGCTAAGTTTTCCCCCTCTAGGAGAGGGATTTGTTTTGCAAGAACAGACAGATAGCTTATGAACAAGCGAACACACTCTCATAACGAATAAACAAAATAAATGGTTCTGATCACTGAACTACAATGCATGCGTGCCCGACAAACCATCTCTATTTCTAGAGAAACAGATGAACAGAAATTCCTCTGTTGCGGAAAGCTTAAAAGTAAATAAACCTCCACTCCACCTCCAACCGATGAGGTTTTGAAATTTGAAGACGAACCCCATTGTGGTAATTGCACCACATGAGGGCCCCACTCATCCTTAGCCCTTTAAATTTAAAAGACCCGCATATCCCAGCGGCCCCAGTTCCAATTTTATATCGTAAATTTAGCAGCACTCAAAGTTGATTATAAAAATTAACAATATTTATCAAATACCCTAATAGGTATATACCCAGAAAATTAAAGACAAAAAGAAAAGCCCTAATAGACAAAGTGAAAGCATTCGCGTGCTGCAAGTGTGTTAAAAATCAAATCTTGCATACAAAGAAATCAATTATATACCCTTCTCTTCTTGAAATTCGAGAGAGAGAGGCAGAAGAGAGAGAGAGAGAGAGAGAGAGAGAGAGAGAGAGAGAGAGAGATCACCTGGTAAGAGAGAGGAGAGAGAGCACGAAAGACAGTTACAGTGGGGAGCCGAGAGAGAAGGGTTCTGTTCTGATCGTTTTAGACTTGAAAGAGGAGAAGAGAGGGAGGGGTTGGAAGTGGGTTTTTATTTTTTGGTGTTTCTTTTGGGTAAGTGGGTATTTATGAGCGGCTTCCTTGTTTTCTTTGTTTCCCAATCTTGTTAGGAATTAGTAGCCGTTAACTTCTTCGTGGCCAGTTATGGGCTCCCCTTGGATTATTCACTTATTTGGGTTCAGATTCTGGGCTCTCTAACTTTTCGTTTGGTTTCATTTTGACATTTGGTTTTGGGCTTTTGATGAGAAAGTCTTATTTTTCTACACTTGTATGCATTGACACCTCTCGAGGTTTTCCATGCGTACATTGACACCCTTTGACCCCTTTGAGGATGTGATAGGAGGAAGGTAATATTTTCTGGATGATGTGGACGTACCACCTCCTGGAGTGTATTGACCCTTGTAACTAGCTTGTTAATACAATTTTCACTGGATAAAAAGAACAAATCAAGCAACAGTACTTGATTAAATAAAACAACAATCGACCTAAAAAAAATTAGTGAACTTGTTTTTTGGACAACCTAAACGGATATGAGACAAATTTATTATTAGAAAAAATAAAGAGGTACACGTACTCAGATCGACATAAAGAGCCAGGAAAGATAAAACAAAACTCCAACCCGTGACTCCCATGATATACAACTGATCTTGATCACAGAGATTCTAGCAACCACATGATTATGGTGATGAAGGTGTTAGCTATGCTAGTGGTAATGATGGCTGTGGTGCACCCTGCAGGACTCCTGTGCAGCTGAATACAAGAATGGAGAGCCTACTGGATGGACTACCATTGATAACATTGACTACAAAAAATGGCCTGCCACTAGGACTTTCCATGGTCACATTATAACTGAGTTTTTCTTTTTTTCCAGTTTCTTCTTCGATTTCCTCTTTAGCATGATTTTAGCTATAACCTTACTTGAATATGTCTTACAAGGTTTATATCTAGGATTAATTCTTTGTTGGCGTTTTGAAGTGAAGCTGTGAATTTGGTCACAATCAAGTAAGAATCACACATATAGAACAAATTCATAGTCTCTCAACATATAAGCATTCATTTTCACTGTATATATATATATATATTTTTGTTTCTTTGGAATTTTCAAATTTAATTAATTGTGTGGTATATCACTCACATTTCTAATTGAATAAGAGGATTGAATTACACGAACCGAAAATTATAAGGATCTAGATCCGCTTCTTTTCTTAGCTATGCTTACTCATTTGAATCCCAATATTCATTAGAAATCCAAGGATGTAATTCATTTTTGAGTTGTGTTACTAAAAGAGATGATTTCTAATGAACTACTGGATTTCTAGAACAAGGAGATGATTGACATCCAAAATTAGTAAATGCAAACCCTTTGTTTGGTTCTCCATGATATGCCCCTCTAAAGGACGCAATTTTTTTTTCTTTCTAATTCCACCAATCCCCCATCTTATAGCACTTTGTGATGCTATGACTTAAGCATGGTATCTTAGATAGATTGGATAACTCGCACAATTATTCAAGGTATGTTGAAGAAAGAAATGAAGGCCAACTTCCAAATTTGTTCAAGTTGAAGGTAGAAGATGGATTAGTCACGAAGGAAACTGGAGAGCAATATACCCCCTTTGTGGACGCACCTATGATCCTGACAATCATTCTCCAAAAATTCAACAGCAGCAAACCCCACTATATTGCATTTCACTTCAGTTGTCATTATGAATGTTCCTATTAGAATCGGAGAATGGTTATAAGAAACATGTAGGGTATATATGAGAATGAGAAGTAAAGAAGAATGTTCAGTTGTTTTTCATTTTCTTTTTATTTCTATCTCGCTTCCAACATGGCTCACCATTTTGCAGAAATTCCAACTCATCCACAGGGCTATGGTGGTTTGAAGGATGAAAGGGGTCATCATGAGGAGGAAGTGGACGCCATTCAGCAATATTATGATCACGAGAGAACCATTTTCTTGACATTCTCCAGAATGGGCATCACTCGCGAACATGAAATCACACACTTCTTCACTAGGTATGTGTATATATATAAATGCATGCATGCATGCATTATCAATCGATGGCTTGTTATATATCGGTTTTGCATATAAATATAAATATAAATATATATATATATATATGCACGAACTTTAGTACGTATGCAATTTTCGTATTAGTGAATTCCTTCATCATTAATTAACATTGGTTTTATTTTTAAAATTGATAGTACATTTGGGGAAATTGAAGCTGCGTACTGTATATGCAAGGAGGCAGGGAACCTCGCTATGCCTCCCATGTGTTTCGTTGTGCTTCCACTGTTGCAGCTGTCCTTAACGGTGAAGAAAAGGTCGTATTTTATATTAACGGAAGGGAAGTGGGCCAGGAAATAACCCGGTAGAATAATACGTCTTCCCCAAGTTGGTATACCAGATCACAACCAATAAGTTCTTGTTGCCACGACACCCTTGTGAAGAGAACATTTTGCTTTGCTAGAGTTGGGAACTGCAGCTCTTGCAGCCCACTACATATAATCTTCCCTGAATTATTATATAGTTTTCGAGTAGTATGAACTTGACAAAATATGGAATTGTGAGAAATGTGTATGAAACAAGTTACGTGCAAGTTTTTCTCTGAATCGAAGAAATAGAAGTTAATTAGATTACAAACACTTTTTTGTACCCCAATCCTTCTGTTATTACCATACTAGACACTTCTTCTTGGTCATTTTGTTCACCTTTTTTGTTGGCCTATATTTATTTTATTACTCATACAACTGTGACAATTTTTAAAATACTTAAAAGTGTGTAGGCTTACAAGTTACAAGTGATGACTGAGGAGAGAGAATGCAGAAATTTTGAATTAGTTGTTCTAGCTAGGTAATTCTGAAGATTCAGTCTATGGCAGGATGATTTTCTATTTTCTTTTATTTATTTTAGTTGGGTAGAGCATCCACAATGGGCTCCCTAAACCACCCCCGTTCTTAGAAGAGCAATTGATCAGCAACAAGGAATTTCGTGTTTTATTGAGAAGAGCAAACAATACACTCATTTCTAGCAGTTCGCTGTGTAATTGAAGTGTTATTATTAATTTTTTTTTTTTCTGGGGAAACCGAAAGTCATATTCTTAACCTCCCGAAAGATAAAAAAATTGGCAATGCATCGGCAATGTTCTTCCATTTCCAATAAACCCGACGCTCTGTTTCTTATTTTTTTTATTTTTAAATTTTGGGTGAGCAATATGGGAAGTCCATTGCTTTCAACTACCTTAATATCTCCAGCTTTCTCCTGCGTTGAGGTACTAATTCTTTTCCAAGTGATGTCTTTTATTCTTTTACGAGTGATATCTTTTTTCATGACCATTGGCAATCGTTTGGTAGCATTTGGTTCTATATATAATTATAAGACAGGTTTACTTATAGCTGCATTGCTTTGTTGTAGATGGAGGACCAACGAAGATGGGAGTAGTTGCACATTGACTGTCTCGTGAATGTTTAGGGTAGAGTTGGCTTGGTCTTGCTGCTTTGTGATGTCCCTTTTGTTTGCAAGTCATGGTACAGAGCAAGCACCAATCCATTATGCTGGGTATTGATTTTCCAGAAGTAAAAGTATTTGACCCTTCGGTTGCGGAGGTCCTTCCTTTCTTGACAACTCCTACCCTCTTAAGAAAGTTTCAATTTTTATATGGAATTAGCAGGAAAAAAATTTATGTCACTGTTTTTATAATGTTTGTCATTAGCTGTAGTAACGGTATTGTTACTTTTCTCAAGCTACCTGGGTGGTGCATTGAAAAAGCCTTGATGTTTGTTGCAGATTTGTAAGTTTAAATCTCAAGATTACTTAAGTTCGATGTAATATATTTGTTTTGTTATGATGACTTTAATTTTCTTTGCAGCTGTCCTTGCCATAAGTCTTTGTCTGTGGCTGAAGAACTGTTGTATGAAACTAGATGCATATTTCCAGAACTCATATGCAAGTGGAAAAATTTGGAGGAGCTTTCTTTGGGAGGTAGCTATAATCTTGTGAAAATAATTGAGCAGATTCACTGCAAGAACTTTTATGTTTTAACTTTGTTTGAGTCTCTTGGAAGAGATGCGTCAATGTCGATTGTTAACCTTTTGCCCAATATCAAGAACCGGACGTTGATGAACTCACAGACTTGTCGGGATGATTTTGTTGTAATTCTACAGGGCTGCAAAAACTCTTGTGCTTCTGGATGCCAAGAAGTGTAAAGGTTTCAATGAGAGTGATGAAGAAATATCGAAGCTTGCTTCTCATATTAGTAATTTCAGGTGTGAAGGTTCTATTGGTGGGGATTGTTGGGGTGGTAGAGTAGTTTGCTCTTATTATCCTCTTTACCGTCAATTTTTGAATCCTAATGGCCACGGTGGTGAAGGAGTAAATGATCCGTTTTTGAATCCTAATTACTCTTATTATCCTCTTATGACTAAATCTCCTACCCTTACAAGAATATTTCAAAATGAATATTGAATTAAAAGTAGTTATTTTGTCCCAGGTAGATTTTTCAATGAGATATGATGTGCAATTGGGAACTTTCTTCTCATGTTTTTCGTATTTTAGCCCCAAACCCTAAAATAATATGACAAAATTGTATATTTAAAGAGTATCGCCGCACGGCTATACTCTTCAAATGCGTTTCAACAAATTTCCGTATAGCCGTGCGGCTATACTTTCTAAATAGATTCGAATATTTTAAACGTATAGCCGAGCGGCTATACTATTTAAATATATTCCAAAGTACACGAAGCTTGCACTCGCAGAGGACGGAACTTGCACTCGCAGTCACTGCTTCGTCCTCCGGGGTTCGGCACCGAGAAAAGACCCAACCCGCCTGGCAGCCTAGCTCCCGCCTAGCCAGTGCCTAGCCGCCTAGCGACCGCCTAGCCGCCTAGCGGCCGCCTAGAGCACGCCTAGCGACCGCCTAGCAGCCAAGAGCCGGCCTAGCTACCGCCTAGCGCCCGCCTAGCCACCTAGCGACCGCCTAGCCACCTAGCGACCGCCTAGAAACCACCTGGCCGCCTAGTGACCGCCTAGAGCCCGCCTAGCCGCCTAGCGCCCGCCAAGAGCCATCGAGGTA